ATTTCTGTGACTGCCAGAAGCACGATTTTGCATCCTCAAATATAGTGCTATAAGTCATAGTAGGGTGAACTGAGAATAGTGCAGTCAGCTTGTAAACTAATACTTTAGTACTCAGCTGATTTCGGATGCATAGCTATAAAACTAGAAGTATATTTGAAAAAAGGGACATTATGCGCTAAGCGGTAACCATGTAGGCCGGTCAACCAGATATCTTGAGTTACCCATATTTGGTGTATATTTTCAGGAGATGTCGAAACGAAGCGCTTCTCCAGAAAAGTACAGTTGGACGGATTCGGTGAATGTTGCATTAATTCTATCCCTCTCAGTTTTTGATAAAATTCTTCTGAAAAGAAGATTATCGAAAAAATAGGAAAAATTCTCACATTTACTTTTCGTTTCATTTGTCCATTTGTGGTTAGTCAAAATAAGGCGTTGCGTTAAAGCATCATCTTCACCTTTATTTTCAGTTGAACAAGGCCTTGCATGCGGGTAGCGATTGGTCAGACAAAGACGAATTGTTAGACGTAGTGTATTGGGGAAAACAGGTATCTTTTTAGTCATTGTCTCCTGAGTTATCTCGAGTGAATTCATATAATTACCTTGATCCATGAAACATACTCTGCTGCAGAAAAACTATCTGGTTTTGGTACTATAAATAGGCTTTTCATTGGAAAACCTCGTGGTTTTTAGATGGAAAGTCTATTTATGAGCTTTTTCGAGATTCCACCTAGCAAACCATGATGATTTTACTAGTATGCATCACCGAGAAGAACCTTATGCAGAAAGTAGCTCGAAATCTCAATAGTTCGGATAGCGATTCATATCTTATACTTTGTTAACCAAGGCATACCTGTCGATACGTTTCCGTGAAAATTCTCTCGAATTATGTTAGGTGATCATAACAAAATGCGAACCTAAATCCTTGCACATATGCTAGTTGACACGTTCACATATAGTCAGAATTGCATTAAGCGTTGCAAATTTGTTTGGAGTGTTTGCCATGAAGAATGGCCGCAAAACTGAAATGAAAGATAATTTTAGGTGGAGAATTTCCTTTCTGATCATGGATGCATTTAGTATTCTTAACTAATAAGATTGACTGCTACTTGTTTACGAAATGCATCCATATTGACTTTTTAACGTGGCATTTTTTCTTGCTCTGTGATGTATCCTATACGTTCCAGTCTTCAGATCTTATCATTTTAGCTGTAATGTTATTAGCGAAATCACCATTTTCCCTTTTGCCGATTATTCTTTGTGCTAGTGAAATCTCATCGTTACATCCGGGAGCAAAAAATATTTGCGAAACTTTTTATATCCATTCAGATCTTATCCTTAATCATTGGTGTGACGTTTGGTGCTGCTTCCATGCATGGAATTCTTGCTATTCTTGCATATGTCGTGATATCAACTATGGTTGCTCAGCACTTTGTTGTAAAATACCAGCAAGTGAGTCAACAACTTTGATTTTTACGTGTATCTTGTATTGTCGATAAAATGCCTAGGTGGACGAAGATGAGGTTGGAGGATTCTGGGAATTAGCTAAAGAAGGTTTTGGATCCGCATTCGCAACATTTATGGTCGCATGGATTACGGTTTATTCGGCTCTTTACCACAACTCTTAATAACACAAAAGAGAGACAATAAGTTATGGTTCAAGTAATTGTTAGATAGGGTTTTGTTAGGCAATGCTCTTTATCTCGCAAAATGCGTGCGATTCTTTTTTGTATGATTATCTTGCTCTGGCTGTTTAACCTTATGTTTTGTACGGTTTCATCTATTTCTGTGAGTAGTTAACAGTTTTTTTCCTCAATTTTGGTTGCTCTCAATTCTAATATTTATTCGTCCTTCGTGTATTAGCCTGTGATGTAATTTTGTGAACAAAGGATCTTTTCTTCACTAGTTTGGAAGCCTTCAAGGCTACATTCCTTTCATATGTATTTATTCATGCTACGATCTTCGCCTAAACAATTATTCAGTTTTGTTGTTTCTCTACATGGTTAAATGGCTTTGTTGCTATTTTGGACTGTAACATCCTTGATCGCGTCTCGCCTTTCTTATATATACGTTAATGGTCAGACCAGTAAGTTCTTCTCATTCAACAATCTAGCAACCGGAACATTATGATACATGGCCTATGTGCAGTGCAGTTGCAAACTGAGTACTTCTTGATTCGTTCACTCATCCACAGCAATCTTTTCTCTCACTCCTGGCTATTCTTTACGGACGTGGGGTTCAATCAGCTAGGAGTCTAAAGAAATGTGAGAACTAAAATGTGAACTGCTTTAGATGCTTTTGCTGACAAGCCGTTCCCGCGTGAAATAATTCCTGAAAACAATCTCGCGCTGAGAATGAATTACGAAAAGATTAGCATGTGATGATGGGCATTTATTTTATACTATTGCGTAAATAGCAGAAATATATATATATATATATATATATATATATATACTACCCACT